AGTATAGAACACAAAAGGGCTTAACCTAGTTATTAGATTTACATTTTTGCCAGAGCACCCACTTATTCAGTCAGGTGATTAATGCTAAATACTGCAAACTGAAAGGACTTTTTTGACATAAAAGGGTTAGAGTTAATTGGTACAACATCTTAAAAGCTCAAGGGTTAGAAGATTGCACTGTAATATCCAATATCAGAAGCAAGATCAGAGTAATAGCAAATTTGCTTATCTGTTTATAAATTACTAAAGCAGCAGTATCAAGCTTTTGTTGCTTTTTTGATGCATTTAGAATAAGTGGTTTATAGAAATATCAAGAATATGATTTATGTAATATGTAGATCAATATATAATTAGACACAATCACTAGTTTGGTGTGGGGTTTCGTGTATTAGAATATGATTAGATAGTCAAAACTCGACTATCAATCAATCAAAAAATTTAGAAGTTCACTCACTTTCTTGCTACATATTAGGTTTTTTATTTTTTTTTAACAATGTATTCAAAAAACAAGGTTTTGAGCATTTATTATCCAAATATCTTCACCTTATATGAATTTCTTATTATGCATTGTGGCAACAAAATTAAATTGATTCAGAAAAGTGATGAAGAAGATTATACAAGCTTACTAAAAAACCTCATGTTAAGAAGTATATTTTGTAGGCTTGGTGAGAAGCAATGACTTATTTATTGAAGAATACATCAACATTTATTTATCTTTCAAATAATTCTTATCTTCAAGTAACCAGTAAGAAAGTACAACTTTCTAACTATAACAAATTATACATATGAAATTCATAATTAAATTTATTTATTATCAATTAGGTATTGCAATTAGTGAATTATCTAAACCGAATATTTATCTTCAAAATCCAAATGTTATTATAAAATTTCTAAAAAATTCCATCTTATGAAATCTTTGAAAAAGTGTCATCTCAAGAAACCTTTAAAGGTGAATGAACTTTTGAAAAGGTGTTATTTCAGAAAACTTTTGAAGAAATGATACTTTAAGAATATTTACTAGTTAGCCAAAAAAGCAGACTCTAGATAATTTCTATTCAAAAGATAAAGAAATTTCTGAATTTAACTTCTACATTGGTTGTTGTCAATCCTAACAGATGCAAAATGCTTCTACAGATAATACATAGCTCTTATATCCAGGATTTCAACTCTAATTCGAATCTATATCAGGTATGATGAATAATCTTATGATTTGATGTTTATATTTTCTAATATATGGTCTTTATATTTTAATAAATATAGGTTATCACTTTTATTTGTGCAATGCTAAAACAAGTAATTCCAGAGAATTCTGAGGGTTGCAATGATAATCAACAAATAATATTTAAAGGTAATATGTATGAATATTTAAGAATAATTGAAATATTATCATTATTATTATTATTATTATTATTATTATTATTATTATTTTAATATTAGCTATAGAAAAGTTCATCATGCTTAGGTATTATGAAGAACTCTCGCTACACTATGTTTTGAATAAATTTAAAGTATATAGAGTTTATCTGTTACATATTTTATTATCTATATATTATACGTACTATATAGTTCTAAATATTATTTATTATTGAATTTAAGATCAAGTGCAAGTGGCTTTTTGTGGAAATAATAAAAATAACAAAGTTAAAGCTAATAAGAGATCTGAACTATTATATAAATTTAGTAGAAAGTCTTTTAAACTAGGTGGTTCAGTATTTAGTTTTAATGAGATTTCTGAACATTTGAAAAAATTTAAACAAAACCTTACTAAAAATAAACATGTACAATATGTCAATACATATGTATATAGTTTTGGTTTTTTCATTATTATGTATTTATTTTTTTTGCAGATTAAGATTATACTTTGCAAAAGTGAATGTTCAATGTTGTTTTGAATCCATTTATCAAGAATGAGTTTTGGAAATAGTTAAAGATATATTAAAAAAAGTAAGTCTATTTTTTTTTAATACATATACATATGCATTATTTGAGAAAAAGTAAATAACATTTCTCTTTTTTAGAGTGATTATGCAATTTATAAATATAATGTAGTTTACCAGAATAGTAGTACAATTCATTCATTTTATAAATACATATTGTGTATGCCAACTCATCAGGTAATACGTATTAGATTAACTAGTTTTGCAATAATTTTTTAATCATTGCATTTACTTTTCTGTTGTCTGCATTAATGATATGTATAAATTATATATATAGATGATTTTCTTAATTTTCCAATCTTTGCAAGAGAATTAGCACAAAAGATATCAAATTTGGTTTTTATTAACTGTATTAAAGAATTCAATTTATTAAAATTCAAATAGGTTAAACTAGGCTTTACTATGACCGAATTTTAGATTGTATTTTTATATAAAAAAGCATTGGGTCAAGTTAGTTAAACTATAAAACAATTATATGTTACAAAATTAGAACTAAGATATAGCTTATGAAAAAAATTATAAATTTATTTTAAGGCCATATAAAGTGGTAAAAAATTATATATATGTATTATTTAAAAATATTTGTCTCAAAATAGTAACCCAGTATTTGACAAAAAAAATTTACAATAAAAAATTTTTAAATAATATATAAATACTTATTCCTACTTGTTCATCCTTGTGTTGTCTTCTGAGGGTTGCATGTTTGACACCAACTATGAGATGTGTTATATTGCTTGTATTTTGCATATTTTACATAATCTTCATACCTTTTACATAGAACTAAATTTATCATTCATAATTTTAAGATGTAGAAATTAATTATCAGTTTGCATTATATATATAATATATATATAAATAAAATTTTTTGTCGAAATGTAGTATACATAGTTCAAACTACATATTATGAATGCTGATAAAATACATTTAATTATGACTTTTGAGTTTGAATATATATGCTTCTGATTGCCTATTTCAATAGTCATATGGTGATGAAATTTTATATTTGTCAACAAAAATTTAGTAAATGTTAAGCAATATAGTTGTTATAATGTTAAACAATAAGTCACTATATATTGGATGACAGTTTTTGGTAATAAAAAAGTGCATATAATTTAGATATATATGTGTTTAAAAATAATAAATCAAATAATATAGTATTTACTCAATCATCTTTTGTTTTAAAGCTTCACTGATATCTTAACTGTTAAAGTATTTGCAATATTTACATAGTTTTATTAAAATACATAAGTAGTGGAATATATAAGTTATACTGAATAACGAAATAGAAAAATCTATATAAAAAGCTATACGTATCAATATCACATATAATCAACTTTACAATTCAATGTAGTCATATGAATTAAGATTCCACATCATGAAAATCTAAAGAACATTTTTAATTAAATTAAAAATCTGTTAAAATTACTTAATCAAACAAATATTTGATTTATCACATATATTACTCAATTTCTCTATTAGCTTCTCATCAACAATAATATCGAAGTTTGTTAGGCTCTTTCTCTGTTAACAACACATATATATTTTGAATGATTTAAAAAAAATACATACTTATTTGATAAATCTCACTTTATTCAAATTACATATACATATCACAATTATTACCTTTATGCATTGCGGTTACAAATCTTTCAACCTTTTCTTTGTCTGTACTTATGTATAGAAAATTGTCAAGAACCATAGCATAAACTATAAACTCAATTTTAGCCAAGAACACTAACTATTTAAAATTATTATATTCACTTACACTATCATCATGCTTCACAAAAGGAAGCACTTCTCATTCCATGTCACTATAATAAAAGCTATGTATTAAATGATTATAAGTTATCAATATATAAATATCCAATTATCAATTGTATCAATATGAATCTACAAAGCAGTATTGATGCAACTGACCCCTGTGAAATACAAGTACATTACCTATAATACTTGTCTCCAATTTATTAAAAAACATATATTGCATTTTATATGGATTGCAAATTACAGAAAACAAATACTGCTAGTAGATAAAGCATTACAATTTTCAATTATATTTGTATTGGAAACAATCTCTAATAAATTAGATAAATCATGTCTGGTACAAAATATAATCCAAAGTTGAATGTGCATTTTCTATTGACAGCACTCCTATAATATAACAGTTTCAGAATCATACTTTTATTTAATATGCTTTTTTAAGAGATCAAATATAACCTCTCTATCTAAATATGGTTTCTTGCATTTATATATCATACAAAAAAAAAATTTTTTGTAATATTTCATATAAGAAATCAATCAGCTAATTAAGCTAAAAAATTAATTACAGTCAGTTTTTTTTAATTTATAAACAAAAAAAACTGATTGGATTTTTCTTTTTTTAATTTCTCTAATTTTTCCTTTTAACTTTTCGACATGATTTTTTAATTGCATTACTAATTTAATTAAAAGATTATTACTGTTCTCTCTACGAATATACTATTTAATTTGTAAATACACATGAATACATATTTATTTCTGTATATTTAAAATGTAAATAAACTTAATATTTACAGTGATGAAGCCCTCTTCTTGTGATGAATTTTTATAATACTTTACTTTAGTGAATTCAACAGTTTTACCAAGAGGTCCATCTGGTATTTCTTTGTTTGCCATAGACCAAAAGAAATTTCCAGCCTCTTCATGACTTCCAAAATGCACATAGCTATATCTAAATAAAAAATAAATTAGCTATTTAAGACTTTAGAAAATTTACATATAATAATAATAAATATATACATATTTACCTTTTTTTCAGTTTTTTTTTTGATATGTGAGAACAGGAACAAGGAAGCATTAAAAAGCCACTTATGAATTTTTTTGGCACTTATATTTTCGATATTTCTGGAAATAAGAACTGTCTGCTCAGCAATATAACAACATAGGCAATGATCTCCTATTTATATAAAACCAAAAAAAGTTATTACTAATACTTTTGTATAAAAAAAAACACCAACTCCTCTTCTAAAGTTGTTTCTTATTAAATTTTACAAAAGTATAGGATACTCTATATGAAGAGGACTCCACATGAAAAGAGCTCTGCAAGAAGGAATAAAATTCACAAGATACTTCAAAAAGGAGAAGCTTATTAAATTTTATACAAGGTTTGATACTCTACAAGAAGAGAACTCCACAAAAAGAGGGCTCCGCAAGAAGGAAAAAATTCACAAGACACTCCAGAAAGGAGAAGCTTATTAAATTTTATAAAAGGTTGAATACTCTATGAGGAGAGAGCTCCACGAAGAGAGGGCTCTGCAAGAAGAAAAAATTCATGACACTCCAAAAAGTAGAGAAGGAGAAGAAAGATGTAATGTAAAAAAAACTCTAGAAAGAGATTTTCTACCTGAAAGTATTGCAATATTTCCTAGATCTTGCTGTAATATGAAACTCTGATGTTTAGTTATTGTGTAATAATGAACCAGACTTTTCTAAAATTTGTATATAAATTTGAAATCAACTATATACATATTTATAATATTCAACCAAAAAAAAAACAATTGTAATGCAATTTTTTGCAAAAAATTACATAAATAAATAAATAAACATCTGGTACATATATGTATATAAGTCTATTGGCTAATCATGTGAAATTAATACCCCTCACAATTAATTATTCAGTAGACCTAAAAAAAATATCTTAAAAATTATCAATATCGTGTTTTCAAATGCTAGGACCTGAAATGTATTTTGTAGAATTGCATTTACAGATTATTTGGCTTTTATTTAACATGCATCTATGCCAACAAGATATTTATTTCCAGGTATAAATAATATGTATAACATAATATATATAACATAAATTATGTCAAAATTAATATAACTATATACTATACAACATGCATACAGTATCATATCATAAATGTCATTTACTATAATAACTTCTATGAATTACTCCTATTTGGATTTTATCTTGTCTCATATGTTATATAGAAATTAATCTAAGAAGTATGAATACTATAAAATAAATTTAGTAACAAGAAATTTGAATCTGAGAAGCACTAAAAATTTGAATTCTCTTACTTGAAGCAGTGAAATAACAAAGCAATCAAATATCTACCAAATAATAGTTCAGACCTCTTATTAGCTTCAACTTTGTTATTTTTATTACCCCTCCACAAAAAGCTACTTGCACTGCTTGATCTTAAATTCAATATAAAATAATTAATATTTAGAACTATATAGTATAATATGTGAATAATAAAATACATAACAGATAAACTTTATATACTTTGAATTTATCCAAAACATAGTGTAGTGAGAGTTCTTCATAATATCTAAGTGCAATAATGAACTTTTCTACAGCTAATATTAAAATAATAATAATAATAATAATAATAATAATAATAATAATAATAATAATAATAATAATAATAATAATAATAAGAATAATAATAATAAGAATAATAATGATAAATATTTTAATTATTCTTAAATATTCATATTACCTTTAAATATTATTTGTTGATTATCATTACAACCCCAAAAATCCTCTGGAATTATTTATTTTAGTACTGCATGAACAAATGTGATAACCTACATTTATTAAAATATAAAGACTATATATTAGAAAATATAAATATAAAATCATAAGAATATTTATCATAATATTTTGTATCTGTTAAATATAAGATTCACAGATGTTCTTACACTAATTTTTGAATATATTTTTTGGTCATCGGGTATTTTATTGTATATTTTGACATTGCTAAGAGATAAATTTTCTGACAAATCAGTATTTGATTTCCAGAAAGTTTTAGCACTATTACTATTACTGTATTTGGTAAATTTAGAAATTTCTTTATCTTGTGAATAGAAATTATCTAGAGTTTGCTTTTTGGCTAACTAGTGAATATTTTATTAATTCAATAAATAAAATATAACTAGAGAACATTACTTCTAAATCATTTCTATAATCATCACAATACTTATTATATATAAGACTTATTATTTCTTTTGGTGAATATTTCTCATTATTCAAATTTTCTGGATCTGAGATAAAAATTTTAGACTCATGTACATTCATATACAAATCTTGTGGTATTATTTCTGTAAAAGTTTCCTGAGATGATACTCTTTCAAAAATCAGTTCCTCCTTAAAGGTTTCCTGAGATGACATCCCATTGTTTAAATTTTCCAAATTCATATACATATCTTGTGACATGCTTTTTATAAAAGTTTCCTGAGATGAAAATCCTTTGAAAATGCCTTTTTCTTTAAAGGTTACTTGAAATGATGTCCCATCATTTAAGATTTCCAAATCTGAGATGAAAATTTCAGATTCATGCTGTAATTCCCTATGCATATCTTGAGATATCATTTCTTCAAAAGTTTTCTGAGATATGTAGCACCCTTTTAAAAGTTTATTTTCTTTAAAGGTTTCTTGAGATAATACTTCTTCAAAGACTTCATAAGATGGCATTTTTTAGAAATTTTTTGATAACATTAGGACTTTTGAAGATCAATATTCAGCTTAGATAATTCACTAATTGCAATACCTAATTGATAATAAAGAAAGTTGTACTCTCTTACTGGTTGCTTGAAGATAAGAATTATTTGAAAGATAATTAAATATTGATGCATTCTTCAATAAATAAGTCATTGCTCTCTCACAAACCTACAAAATACTATACTATTTAATCTTATAAACTTAATGAGTTTATTTTATTATAATCAGATAAGACTATTTATCTAGAATAAAGCTTTTTCAATGCTAGTAAGTGTCTAATATAATCTGTGCTTGAATTTTTGTATTCTATCATAACATTATATTGATTTGGTATCTAATCACAGTTTACAATCAAGGATTATTACAAATTGATATTTAAATATCTTCTATACACAATTTACATGTTTGAAAATTTCATACTAATATCATTAAAGCCAAGTGATAAAACGTTGGATTGCTTTTTTTAGCTCAAGGCCATTTTTTCATTAACAAGTTCTATAATACATAATCTTATTAACTACCTGTTGGTAAAACTTTAGATTAGTTTTTTAACAAACTATTTTTACTTATGTATATAGCAAATTTAAAATATACATATCATGACAGTTAAACCTAAATTTATATAATTGACATTGTGGCTTAGCCAATTTTAATAAAAAAATTTTCTAAGTACATACGTACAATTCATACATATTCTTGTGATTTTTCGAAACTTAAAAGTTTACTCAAAAAAAAAGCTACATAGTGAAATTAGGATGAAAGATTTTTAGATTTCATGACCTTCCATGAGATTTTATTTTATTTTTTAAAACATACATACATATAATATGTTACATATACATATTGATGTTTAAATACATGGGCATAGTGCTACAGAAAAGAAGAAAAATAACAATTTTTCAAAAAATTTTTTTTAAGCTTAATTGATTTGAAATCAAATTGTAAATAAATTTAATTTATTAAAAAAGCACTATTATCTTAATAAAATTTTGTAAAAAATCAAAAATAAGATAAAAAATAGTTTTGATTGAACAAGCGCTTGTGTAATATACTGATGTAGATCAGATATGATTTTTGAAATTTATTGGAATTGTTGATCAACCAATCAGATTGTAAATTTAATAGAAATTAAATTTATAATACACTTCATTCTTGCAATTTTTTTTTTATTATATTTTTTGATAGAATAAGATATATGTTATGCAAATACAAAATATAATTTTTTGTATCAAATTTTGAAACATAATCAAAGTTACAAACTAAATTAACATGAGAAACAGACATGATGAACAAAGTATTTTAAAAATTAAATTAATATTGATAAAAAAAAATTAGATAAGAATTGAAATAGTTTCTTAAATATCTTAATTAACAGATAATTGTTATATTATGCTTATAGACTAGGGATGTAGGAAATTTGATTTAGTCCTGACTTGACTCCAAAAGTTGAATCTTAAAGTTCAGCCCCAAGCTGGATGTGGGATTTTGACTTGTATTTGCAAAGTGCATCTATTGGGCGAATGACATACTATATAAATCAAAACTGTATATGATGTCATATAAGAACTTAATATCTAAAATTTATATAGAATACTATTTTATAATTTTTCATGAAATTTAAATAGATGCATACTTCTAATAATTTATATTTGAGGTCTAAATTTTGCAAAGACCAATATTATAGTTTTATATGAAAAGTTACAAAGTTATTTTTCTCATTTAAATATAAAACAAAAGATTTAGTTCAGCTAAAATTTTAAATTCTTTAAGTTTAAAATAAATAGCTTTGTTTGTAAGGCTATAATATTGATCTTTGCAAAACTTAGTTCTAAAATATTAAACTGTTAGGGCTGTGCATCTGTTTAATTTTTGAGAAAAATTACAAGTAAAATATTCCAATTAAATTTTTGAATATCAAGGTTTTATATAATACTACATATAGTTTTAATTTATATAAAATATTGCACATCTAGTGCACATAGTATGTTTAGATATAGAATTAAAAATGTGAATGCAAGAGAAGTTTAGAACTCAATGAAGTTATCTTTATTTTGCAAGAACTATCGAGTCTTTATATATATTTTCTGTCATATCTGCTCTATATAACCTATCTGATATATCTGCCATATATGCCATATCTGGCATATTTGTTATATTTGGCAGATTTTCTTAACTATTTTTAAGGAAATCAACCCAAACTACTTCAGAGATGATCTTAGACTAATTTTTTACTTTTACAATATACAGTATATACAGTATGTACTGTACATAAAAAAAATTCGGATATCATATAAATGACACATTACTAAGTACTCTACTAAATGTGAGTTAAAGTCCTAAGTCTAACTTGGAACTGAAGTTTAACAAAGACTCAACTTTTGGAGTCAAGATCAAACTGAACTTTTTACATCCTTATTATAGACTAATTAAATAAATGATTGTTATAATTACTAATTATGGTTGTTCTTAAGCATCTCTCTCAATGCAATTGGCTAATAATTAAAATGTTGCTCAAACTTTGCAGTTAATTGATATAAAAATGATGATTGATGCTTGATCTATCTCGTTTCATCTTTTTAATTGATTACCTTTTTGGCTCAAAAAAAAAAAACAATTGTAAGTATAATGTGTTTGTAAATTTTAGTGCTTTAGAAAGTTGAATTTAAAACTAAAATAATAATTGCACATGTCACTGCAGTAAATCAGGATTAAAATCACGATAATTATAATACAAACCTCAACTACATACTATGTTCTGTAAAAGAATTTTTTTTTTTTTACAGTAAATAAAGTATCAGGAATATTGCACTAACCCATGAATTAACTCACAAGTTAAGCTGCAGGTTAACTTGCAAATAGATTTATATACCTGTTTTTGCCTAGATTAATACTTTGGGCTTTTTCAGCAGTGCCTGTATTGTTACCATAAATAGATGCATATACTATA